TGCGCTGGGGGATTGCTCCGGCCTTCGCGCGGAGGGGGCGAGCGGTGGCGAGCAGAGACCCCGGGGAGCACCGCCGCGGCTGCGGGAGGTCTGACCTGGCCGGAGCCAAACGCTGTCAGCGGGGCTGGTACTGCTGGTGGGGCTGCAGGGAGGGCAAGGCAGTCCTCCGAACAGCTTAAAAAATGCTGTCTATCAAAATGTCACAGTGCAGCTGGCATACGTGTGGCACCGCTGTGGAGAACTGCCGATGACTGATCTCCCTGGGCACACCTGGTCTGCCCGTGGGACGCTCCTTTACGAGGGTGTGACATCGAGTGGAGCTGAGGAGAATGTGTTTACTAGGCTGAAGGTTTAAGCTGCTGGTTTAAAGTACACGTAGCAAGAGTGGGAGCCACTGGAGGGAGTGACTTCACCGTAACTAGCTAGCAAAAGCCAGCTAATTGGTCGGTGCAAGCAAGGGGCCTTGCTGGATGTTATGATTTCATGTGAGAGATTACTAGAGAGGTTTAAGTAAAAGACTTGCAGTGGCACCTTATAGAAGATAATTCAGTCTGGATTCTTGGCAGCTAATCTTGTCTAAAATAGACACAACCCTTTCCAACTGAACAAAAAAAAAAAAAAAGCCCAAAACAACTCTCAAGCGAAGCCCAAGAACAAAAGTAAGAAACTTCCATCCTGGAATGGGGTAAATTAGTTAAAAGGTAGTCACTGTTTGACAGAAAATAACTCATCTGTGTTAGCACTCAGCGTTTGCTACCTTTTCTTCCTGTAATAAAATCAAAGCCTAATTTTCTTGAAAAAAAGTCTTAACAAAATTTGTACAGCAAATGGGCTTATGCATTTGAGTAAGTTTACAGTAGAGAAGGAAGTTGTTTCACGAGGTGTGTATAAAACAGGCATGTTATAAACCCATTATGGGCCTTAAGGAAGCAAGTTTGTACATGGCAAGGATTGTAAAATGAAGTAGGTTGCATTTTAAGTGGTTTTAGAGTATCATGAATATTGTAAATACAGCAAGGTACAGAATGTTAGTACTGACAAAAATAGAGTAAATGCAAAACCTATGGGATAGCACTGCTTTGACTCTTGAGGGGCCTCCTGTACCAAACATAAATATGTATTCTTCCTCCTTTAAACAGCAAATGGCTTGTTCAGACAATTTTTTTGTTTTTCTAAAAATGATGAGAAAGTCAGCCTTGTGACAATCCAAATATAATTTACTTACTACTTTCAACTACAGTAAAATGTTCAGAAACTATACAAAGACTTTAGACAGTAAACATGTATTTGATAAGACTGTGGTTCAGTTACACCGGATCCTTGGAGGAGTTCCCAGTACAACTTCATTAATCTGCTTGTAGCAGAGAACAGTTTCCAGTTCGACATACACATTCACAACATTCAGACTCATTTGGTCCAGCACTAAACTCTTCTTCCCTTTCATCTTGCAAATGTGTATGCTCTTTTGCTTGCCTCTTCAGCAGGCGTTTACCTAGAAGACAAATTACAGTACATTTAGAGACAAAGCCTTTCTTTGCGAGATAAAATCATGTAAGTAACAACTTTAAAATAAAACTGTTTTTAACTTAGTTAAATGAGACATGCTAAAGGCTCACAAGCTTCTATTCCTGAGCAGATTATACATTGCCATTATTATCCAAAAGCCTTCCCCACAGCCTTTGTTGGCCTCGTGTCTAATTTAAAAGAAAAAATACCATCCAAATTAAAAAAAAATAATGGGAAGAAGCTCATTCTTTTTCCGTGGAACTGAAATATTGGTGTATGTGGTTTCTGGAATATGAACTTCTTCCTACAAGATTTACAAGTATTAGCCACCTGCATGTGTTTTTTTTTCTTGTAACTTTTGTTATGGTAACAATGGGGAGTGATTAATAAAAAAGGGATAGTTTACTGAAGTCTTAAAGTAAATTAAACCATACTATATATACATTCAGTGTTAGATGAAACTTCCACCAGCCAAACTAATAAAAGTTCAGGTAGCAGTAAGAAATGTAAAGACCAGGGCTTTTAAAATAATAATTATTATCACCTGTGTTCAGAAATCTTTGCTACACTTTGTATATCTACTTCTATGCAATTGAAAGTAGAAGCTGACTGTTTCTGAGCCAAAACCTTGTAACAACCCCCTTCCTTTTTTATCTCCCTTTGCTGAAAGTATCTAACCACTTTGATTCTTTTCCTGTTTTGGTAACTTTTGCAAAAGGAGAACAAAACACTGTGTTCTACCTTAACCTTTAATTATCATTGTTATTTAAAAAAACCCAAAAGTTCAAAGCAGGATACACAGATTTGGAAGTACCTTCCTCATCCACCTCCAGCCATTGGTGGTGGACTGGGGCCTCCACCCCAGTGATTTATTCGACCCATTCTACGGCGAGGATGTGCTGGAGGCCTGAAAAGAAAGGAAGGAAAACAACATTTATTAATTGGTATTAAATTGTTAAACTAGACATATAGTAACACTGTCTCTAAATGATAGTAATGAGAAAGTTGGGACCTCTGGTAAAGTTGTTTGGGTTTTACGCAGTCCTACAAAAAAAGTCAGGCAAACCATTAAGAACAAAGAAACATGGTTACTACAGTGTTTATAGAAATTATATCTCTGTAACAGTTATAAAGTGTTTTGCTTTATTTGTAGATAATCTAATACATGAAATGACTAATTTAATGTAAATCAAATGCTGTGTATAAGCAAGTCTAACAGATGACTTTCAACAAAGATGCGTATTGTCTATGTAGGCAGGTTTGAAAGATTGTTTCAGTGAGCGTTAGACTATACTGTTACTACAGCTGTTCAAAGCTCTGTATTGCTATCAACGAGTCTCAGTCAAAATACCAAAGATAAACATTTTAGTCTTCTCACATGACCAGATTCAATGCAAATCACAGCTGTAATCTGAATATATTATGTAATTTTGCTAAGATAGGAAAAAAATCAGAATTAGTGTGAATATGAAAAAATACCCTCTTCCATCATTGTATCCTGAATAGGAGGAAGATGTGTAGCCTCTTCTTCTCAAATCTGGTTGAATAATGCTCTGGAAACTGAAAAATAAAACAGGAAAATTGATTGCTAGATGTAGTTTCTGAATTTTTGTATTGCAAGATAAGAAATGGGCTGAAAAACAGTAAGTAGTGTTCAGGAATGAACAGCGTATCTTCTCAAGGTAACTTATTTAATAAGTCTTTGCAATTTTTCTCCTATATACAAAGATAAAATCTAAAGTCATTCCAAATGTCAGTAAGGCTCCAACCATAAAATCTAAGTTCAAGAACTGCATAAAGTACAACCGTGTAACTGAAATAACTTTATGACGGTTGAATACATCAAAATAATTTTTTCTTAACTAGCTTCAATATACGGACATTAATTTGTGATTACCACTGTGTGATTTTTTACACAGCCACATTCTATTGTCACCAGTAGAAAGTCTCCAAATAATATTTGAATTATTTGATCAGCTACTAGAATCTAGCTATTTAACAAAAGCATGTTTGCAGCATTAAAATAGAAGAAATGTAAGAAAACTAATTTGAACTGCCAGTAAGTTAGTATCACTTGACATGCACTTTTTATTAAATATTATAGTGCTTAATAACCAAAGCCATGTAGTCGTAATAAAACATTCATGTATGTTTTGGGGACAGTAGATATGGAATGTTAAAGAATAAATCTAACATTTTTATTGTTGTGTTAGTGATAGCACTGAGTAGCTTCTACCTGTGACAAATCTGAAATAAAGCTCATTGAAAGAATTAATTTCTACTTACAAAAGAACCACAAAATCTGCTATTGACCAGAAGAAATCTGTTATAGATGACAAACGCCAAGGAGCCCGACTCTGGTTATCCAAAACCTGTCCTGTAACAGATCAATATACAGAACATCAGTCACGTTCAGTGTGTGACGTTGTACGGTGTATTACCCTGCCGAGGCTAGAATTTGCAAGTAGCATGGAGAAACTACACTTTATGGGAACGGCAGCAAGTTTCATTCCCTACAGGGTGCTGTCCAAGTACTTGAAATAAGCGGCAGCACCACCAAACACACACCGTGTCCAGGTAAACCTGCCAAAAATACCAGCGCAGGCTCTGCTTCCCTGTATGCGGTTAAGCCGCTTCTCTGTTACAACCCCGACGTGTGCAGAACACACCTGGACTTTTCAAAGTCCTTTAACACTGTTTAGAAGCATGCAAGGCTCCGATCCAGGCCGCAGAGCGGTGCGCGGACGCGGGGCTGGTGTGGCAGCGCCAGAGGCAGCGGGCGGGCCGCGCCGCTCTCTGAGGGCAGCGA